TCATACGCCATTTTCTCCCTCAGGATACTGGAACTCATGTGCACCATTGGTTTGGAATCAGGGTTTCCCAACTCCTCTAGGTGGAATTCCTGTGTCCACCAACCCGGTTAAAGCGCCGGATATTCGCTTTTCGTCCTTTCAATTTCGTAAACAACAGTGATGCCACGAGAAGGCAGTGATTAGTGCTTCCCTGACAGAGGCTACATACGCGTGGCCATGTGAGAGCATTTCGAGAGGGAGAGCTAACTTTCCCCCACTCTCCGCCGTACCAGGGCATTTGAGGGCTATTATAACAATCATTTAACTAGATCAAGTAACTCTTTACGTCATCCTTGTTATAAGAATCATAAAAAAAACACAGTTATCTTTTTGTTATAAGATTATGAGAACATATTCTAAATTGAAAAATACGTGTTGTTTATTTTTCTCAGAGTTAATCTTTCAAAGGTGATGGAATGTTATTTTGAACAATTGGCTGTAAATTTTTCAAAACATCCTAACAATTTGAATCGCCTTGAGGTCGTTTAATTAAAGAACAAAAGATTCTTTATACGAACTAAGAAATTCAAGATATTGTCAGTGTTTATTAACTTTTATATATACTGTATAATATTTGTTGTTATATATTCACTAACCTATTCTTCAATTCTATGTTGCTCAAAATGTAAACATTCATTTGGTGTTATGTGATCAAAATATCCTTAAATTGTGTTTCTTGAACTGAATAATAAACAGTAATTGGATATCATTTATATATAATACAATCTCCACAAATAGTACTCATATTGTAATGAATGAAAACAGAGGTGGGGGACGACCAAATGTATTTTAGCATAAGATTATTGAGTTATTTGGTAAATTGTAAAAAAAACTATACGTTCAATACTTCATTTGCAAAATGTCCATTAACTGTCTCAAACTTTATTGTTCCTTCATTCCCCTTTACCCTCTGTTGCAATTCTCTTTTATTCAATCTTCTCAACCTACTACTGCCAGGTTTTATTCTCTTTTGATTGATGTTCCATACTACTTATATCTGTTGAAGTAAGTAGCATGCCCTACAATATTTCTGTGATATTGTTCACCATGACTTTTGGTATTCCAACGTGTTATTGATTTTACAAACCATTCCTTTGCTTGAACAAAAATTCAGTTCATCCACAGAAGTCAGGTTAGTTGTAATCCACTTACGATAGAAACACTTAACACTATAAGCCTTATCTATTCATTTAAAACATATTTATTAAGCTTTTCGATAAGTTTATACATTATAGCAATCAACTCAGTTTATAACTCTACTACAATTCACTGAAGAGTAGTAGTATTCCTTTGAATGATAATTCAGAACTTTTATTAGAAATTATCTTCCTCCGTAGATGAGCATTATGCTATTTATCAAAATCTTTAAAAAAAGATTAAAGAAAATAGGGAATGACATAGACAAAGTGTATGTACAGCTAGCTAGAAATTTATCACGAATATAACCCATAAATTAGACTTCTATGTAAGTGCATGTATATATATATGTATATATACTCATCATTGTAAATCTAGAACTGAAAATCACCAATTGGTGAGTATACATGGCAACATTTCTGCAAGCCAAAAAAAACCCAAATCAAATTGTCAATGATTTATGTTGTCGGATTATTTGTTTAATTTTTTTTCTTTGAAATTTCCATCCAGTAATTGATATTTTTGATGTGAAAAGTTCCATTGAAAAATCCTTAACAAATTATACTCCATTCAATAACACCTTTTGAACATTCCTAGTTTATGGTCATAATATATGTGTGATGAATTTTTGTTTGTATACTACTATACTACTAATTTCAACTATTCTTACTTTAATAACGTTTATTTGGAAAATTTAATGAAAAAAAAACTTAAGATTTTATATGGAAACCATTTATCATTTTAGATAACACGCACAAATGTAATTGTTTACATAGAAATAAACAAATGTTCTAAGTTGGTTCTAAGAAAAGCTTCAATGTCAAAAAGCCCTACTTTCCAGTTTATTTATTGTATAAGAATTTCAATTAACCTGATATTTGATATTAAAGAAAGGTATATGTATAGATAGGAGGAATGGGATAATGCTAATTTACAGAATATAGTTTATTATTGGGAATGCAACATAGTATTTGAAGATGAATCTATGTACGTAAACTGATTACCTAATAAATGGAAGAAGCAACAGCGACGATAGGTCACTGAATGTCAGATTATGTTCACTTAAGTTTTTAATTATTTGTTATCTCATAATTCGTATTGTAGTGCTTGAATGCATCTATAACTTTACACTTCTTAATCAATAAGTACTGTCCAACGGTATGCTCATCTACTCTTTTAAGTATATAACAAATCCTGTCGATATGTTGTGATGTGGGTATCAGTGTAAGTGACTAGAAATCTCGTGCATTATGTTTTGGTGTAGAGTAATTGGAGATAACCAGTGAGAAACCCTAAAATCTTGAGAGAACCAATCATCCATGAAGGGTTTAAAGCTATGCCACCCGGCTTCACAGTCAGAAATGTTACTACTGAGTTATATGGACTTCAATTGACCACCTGTAGTATTGAGATATTTAAAATTTATTAATCGTTGATTTGTGACCAATGTCATATTTGTTTAGTCCTTAATTTCAGTCTAACCCAGTGATTTTATTTCCTGGCTATCACTTAGTTATTGATTGTTAATATACTTACTGCACTTATTTTGTTTTTTATGAAATCAATATCTGCCCTAAACAAAGTTGATTGTCTAGAAATATGGTCATATGTTATTGAAATTTGATACACGATAAATAAGTTAATAATAATGAACAAACATTAATCAACATTTGTGTTCAGTTAACAAGAAAGCGACATAACTCTTTAGTATTAACGTAATATTAATGTAACTAGACCTATCCAGAATCCTCCGAAGATAAACCTGGTAGATCATTACTGAAAAGATAAATATTGTCTTTGCCTTACAATTGGAATCATATTTCATAGACTTGATTGTTGAATCTGACCCATGTGTCTACCTTACTTTGCCACTCCATAATATCTCTTTGTAAAAAAACAATTCGTCATCATTACATAAAAATCGATTATTTTATTCAATTACAACTTATGATGTTGAAACGTAGATCTAATATTTCCAGTGAGACTTCAACAAAATGATGAAGCTTGTTTTCAGGGAATATTTGTGAACTTGAAGACCATCTTACTTTATAGTGTTTGATGAAAAATTACTACAGCTTTATTCTAATTAGCTTCAAGGATGACTCTCACTAAGTTCCAGTAGAAAATCATAACTCATGTAGTCATATATATCTTAACTGTAACTGTAGCTTATACATTATATCAGATGATGTTCACGTTATATTATGATAACATTGAAGCTTATTAATTAAACCACCTGATTCCAACTAAATGATATCGATAATTGAGTGTTTTCGATCCTTTCTTGTATGACATTACATGTATCTATACTCCAACTGATCAGACTCTCTTTTAAATGATCAATATGCCTCTGAATATAAATAAATCCTACTAGATGTTTAGTGATGCATGTATATATAGATATATGCACACTTTCTTCTCCCCATACTGTTTGCAACCTAACTCTTTTCATTTCTAAATTATTCAACATACCCTCAAAATTACAATAGACATATTTTTCTTTAACTCTTTTCAAATCGATAGAGTTAGGACTTCATTTATTTAATTAAAATAAGAAAAAAAAACAAGCAAACACATTTTGATTATCAACTAGATTCTAGGCTACTAATTTCTTCTTTTGTTCACTATAAAATGATTCTGTCTCTTCATTTAAATAAAAATTCAAAATTTAATAAATCAATTTTTGTCTGAGAACAAAAGGGGGAGAAAGGGAACCGTTTTTCTGTTTTTGTGTTTTTCTGTTTTTTTGGTGTTGATTTGATTAGGTCTGTCATTAATTTTTTCCAACAAGAAAATTAATTAATTGTTCCTTGTGATGTATTACTTAAATATATATTTAAGATTAGTAATATTATGTATTTCTTGATTACTATATTAAAGAGATTATGAGTATGTAATGAATACCAAGTGTTTACCTAACTGAATGAAACCAAACTGATGTATATCATTCATGGCATTCTTTGTTTTTCTATATATTCATCAAGATGTATTTCAGTGAATTTAGTTGAAACTTTACTGTAAAATGTATTTTCTTCAATGACTGTTGCTGTTTTGTACAGAGATAATATATATGAAATCGGTTTCATATAAGGATGATACTCCTCAGTTATGCGTGCCTGCCAATGTATATGGACGGAAATATATGAACACAAAGTATCAAGTTAAGTACAATACCTGTAAACCAATATATATATATATATATGAAAATCTGATTATTCCGAACACCATTTAGGTGTATTTTGAAATGAATACTTGTACTACTCAGAATAAAATATAATTTGTCTGTCCTTATTTGAATATTAAATCAGCCTTAGTCGTGCAATAGTATCAATGAATACTAGGTTATTCAGCTGAAAAAAGGTTAATACCTCATTCTCCACTTATTTTAGGAAGACCATGAAGATAAATCTCGAATTGATGATAGTGTATAACTAACTGTAATAAGTCGACAGTGAATGATTACTAAATAATAAGTAACGTTATATTTGTCTAAATCCTCTGTGCTCATCGAATTTTATGGATCACGTGAACCTGAGTTTTGTCTATATTGGAATTCAACTCTGTCTATGACACCATATGTTGTGGATTTGAAACCCATCAGGCCCATTGATTCAACTAAGATTCACTATAAGGCTTGCTAACAAGATATCATTAATTAACATAGTGATTTTATGTTTCTTCAATCTTGTAAATAAATACTTCTCTTTCAAACATTGTCACATTGAAAACAGTTATAAAATTTAAAATTTACAAATATTTTATATAGTGAGTGTAAATGAACAAATAATACTATCTGCATATATTTTCGTCACAAAACTTTATAGTTACGTATTGGTGGCTCCAAAAAATTCGCTGATGATGCTGGTGTAATTAAACGTTTGGAATTTCCAGCTCGTAGTGTTAGTGTAACATATGCTGCATTACATTCTGGTTATACGTATACAGTTAGTGATCTGGAACCGAATAGTGTTTATGATGTACAATTAAGTGCATATTATGATTTAACATTGAATATGCAAAGTAATTGGGAAACAACAAGTTGTTTTACTCAAATGCAACGTAAGTTTAAATTTTTGAAAGTAAATAAAAAAAATCAATGAATAATTGATTTTTTTTATTGGCTATAATTTGTAGAGTCAGTTCTTTAAATCAAAACCTAAAATCCACTTTCATAGTGCTAAACACATCCCATAATATACAAACCAATGGAAATAATGAGCTGATATTTTGTGGTGCCAATATTATAAACGAATATTTATTCGGAAAGGATCCAGAATAAAATTGTCTCAAATGCTAGAAATGTGTTTTAAGTTTCCTAAAAATGAATCCTGTGTGCTACAAATGTGATTCTATAAATACGAATATAATGGGTGTAGTAAATTAATAGGCTTCAGTTATATTGTTTCCTCTCAGAAAATTCTCCAAAGTCATGGGATCCAAGATGATGTAGAGACTAGAGAAAAGGTTAATGAAAAGATGAGACAAAGTAGACAACTTAAGCAAAAATCCAGTAAAGTAAAACCTTAAAAAAACTAAACGAATATGAGAGAAATAGAAAATAGCCAATCAATATGATAGAAAGAAAAAAAAATTCCGAATATCGCCGGTGACTCATCGAGCAAAAGGTGGATGGCATTGCTCCAAGAAATGTAAGACTGAAAACAGAACATTTTCGCAAGTATAAATGTAGTAAAAAGAAGGCATATTCACTGCCTGGTAACATTATTTTAATGAATGTTTTTGACCAGGTAATTAATCAACTATCGATTTAGAATGGTTGTAATGTTTAATTAATTCTACACTTGATAACTGTTCACAAAATAACCATCCTAAAATTGGTCTGTTATACATAAAATCTATTTGATCATATGATAATCATTTCTTTATATGGGACTAATTTCAAGACTAACTAACCAAGTCCTATTATTAGGTCAAGACCTATGAAGTTTTCTCCATTGTTGAAGTGAGATAGTCATCTTGTTTGACTGAACGCAGTGATATAAACCATAGCCTAGATGGATGAAACCAAATATTTTTAATTGTAATCATATTCTTATATTTTCTATATATTTCACAAAAGGTTACATTGTTATTATTATTATTAATGGCTTTATTCAACATTATATTTTTAGTACAATATAGAATTCTCAGCATGACGTATTCCAACAAGTTTCCTTTTGTTTTTTCTTGATCGATATTGATGATAAATATTGATTAATCGCCAGTTAGATATTAACATTTCAGAAGTCGACATTTGAATATAATTCATTCTTTTCAATGCATATTGCCAGCTATCACGATGTCTCTAATTGTACTTTTTTGTAAATTGTACAGCAAAAAGTCGTAAACTTTTCACAAACGCACCTGAATGCATTATGTGATTAATAGACATAATGATATGTTAAAACAAATAAAGACAGATAACTTATTGAAATACGTAGATGGAAGGAACAGGTAGACCAGATATTCAAGGACGTTGCCAGGATAGTGACAGTTACTTAGTTGAAAAGTATTAGTTTTATTTGATCATATAAACTTTCATAATAGTTTAGTGCGTAATGTAAGGAGGATATTTTTAAAAAAGGACTATATTTCTGGAAATTCCAGTGATTAGAATTAAAAATACCAGTTCTATTTAATTTCCTTAAGAAAAAAAATGAACAAAATTCACAATGAGTGAATATAAATAGATTCGAATAAATAACCTTTTGGAAATTATGATCTTTCTAAAAGAATTGTATTTTAATAAGTCAACATTTAACTCTCTTGAACGGAACAAATACTTACTTGCTTACTTACGCCTGATACCCCTCGTGAAGGAGCAAAGGCCACACATAATCATTCTCCATCCAACCCTGTCCTGGGCAATCCTTTCCAGTTCTTTCCAGTTGTTATTCATCCTTTTCATATCTGCTTCTATTTCCTGGCGTAATGAACGGAACAAATAATTTTTTCATAGACTAAATGAATGAATATTGGTATATAATTGATATTAAGTGTTATGCCAGTTTTTAATTCAAGTTCTTATTTAGCCCAGAAAGTATAAAGCATCAGACTACTGCTTACATCATAGTAGTATGTCATTGAAAAAGAGTAAAATATAAGAAAAAAAACATTTTCTAGTTTTTATCTCATACAGTAACATTTCGTTGCTTATGAAAGACTTTTATATGGATTTTACAGACTTTACAACACAATTTACGTCAATTTCATAAACTTATTACATACTGCAGTGAATTATTAAAATTGAGCACAGGATTTAAAGCTTAGACTAAAATAACTTTCTTGGTATTTATCTGTTATTCAAAGATCTTTCGAACCGTATCGATTAGTTGTAAAAACTGGCCTCAGATTGGTCAGTCGGTCATCGAACGTTAACTGTGACAAAACCTTCAGAAGATTACTGATCATGAATCAATCTACTGACATCAATTCTCATTTATTTTAAGTCTTTTAACACACCATAGTTATTTAAGACCACAGCTATGGACTAAAAGTAAACATTCAAATAATGTATTTTAACCCTATAAAATTCAGAATGGTTAAATTATTTTTAGGTGTGTACACCTTCATTTCTGAAATTGACCATTCTTTGTCTCATATCTAAACAAAGGTTTTCTAAGATGATTTTCTCTACAAATCAACACTAACAGAGGAAGCACTAAAATACAAGGACCGCTGGATAATTTTTCTTTTTTGTATGAAGGTTCTAAGCGTGTACATTTATGACCCTAAGACGAATTGGATTTAAGACCTAAAACTTTCGCATATCTCCTAGACTATTGAATTGCAAACTTCTGATTCACATTTCTAACTTCAATTGGTTTGTAATGCGCAACCAATCAATTTTACAGACATCCAAGTACTACACTACTGATATACGTGAACACCCATTATTTCTTAGTAGAAATTTGAACATACCTTGAATGAAGTCGGTGAAGATTAAAACGTATTTTTAAAATTTTGTATTTTATTGATCACATGTTATTTTTTTTATTTTCTTTCAACGAATATGCATTTGAAATCATACAAGACCTTCCATTTATCATATTTCATTTTATAAATTATCTGGTTATTCTTTTTAATTTACAGGTCCACCTTTCGTACCAACGCCAATACCGGTTGCTGTATCACCAAGTCGATTACAAGTTTTGCTTCAGTTAAGTCGTGTCAGTGAGCAATATGGAAAAATACGACAATATTTCCTAGTTGTTGCTCCCGTTCACTTAGCTGATAGTTCCACCGAAAAAATAAGTATAGACACAGTAAGCAGAAATACTGTTCTATTTTGTTTATTGCCTCAAATAATTTCCTTTCTAACGTCTAATTCATTGTAAACTTGGTGAAAAGTAACACGATACTTAATTTTAAGTATATAGATCTCATATACAAAAAAAAGAACCAGTGACTAGACTCAGTTAACACAGATTATTATATGTCTTTAAGTATAAGGGTTTTTTATTTGTTGAATACAGAATTATTCATTACATACTACTTAAGCAAAATAGGATTAAATTATTCAGTTGTAATGAAAATATCTTTTATTCAGTCTGTGTCCACCCATGTATATGGTGGTTTCTTAGCAGCTGCAAGACGTCACGCCCTTCGCAGTAACTTAACGTTTATTTATATTATTCATTATTAAATGAATTTAGCTAAAGCCCCACTCTTTTAAGTAGTTTGATATAAATATCAAAATAAATTGTTTCTAATTCACCAATGGAAACATTTTCCTTATTTTGTAAAATCCTCATATTTTTTTATAAAATAAATTACAGCCCATGATAACATTATTGTTAAACAAGTATTCAGTTGAGATGGTGTTTCAAGAGTGTAACGCAACATAGCGCAGTTATTTTTAATTCAGCTAAAAAAGCAAAGATGAATAGTGGGCTAGCAGTAGAATCTAGGACGCGCGTTTTGTCGTATTTGGGACTGGTGAGTTGGATGTAGCTGCATCTCGGAATTGATGTTCACTGTGGGACTGCAACCCAGTACCGTTCGCTTCAAACGCCATCACGTTATCCACTCGGCCACTGACTCCTCATAGTCACTTGCTTGTGCAATCGGTTCAAGTTGAAATTCACTTGATATTGTAAGCATCAATGGGAAGACTCAAACAAACAATACTAAGTGAATTCAGCTAAAAAAGGTTTAATAAATGAGTAAATGTATAGTCGAAATATTTTATGATCGATAGTGTTGATGGAATTTCATCAACTAGGATCTTTGTCATTTCAGCTTACTGTTCTTAGCATTTAAATAGTAGTATATAATCAATAGAAGTCTGTATACTCAGATTTCGAGCTCATTGATAACATTGTTTATCTGAAGTAACTAGTAAAAATTATAAGAGCTGATCTTTTGAAAAACTCATTAACTACAGTGCTGAATTAATCTAATGATGATTCATAGGAAATACATTGTGCATAGCAGTATGGTTAAATGATTGGGTCACCTATATTTCAACTGTGTAAAAATTCCAACAAAACTGAATGTTTTAAATGTTTGGAACTGAACAATGATGAATATTATCTGAATGTACTCGTGCTTAATTATGAAAAGGCTATAGGTTAATGAGATACGTAATAAATAAATAATATATTTGGTTATTTGTTCCCTGAATAAGTTGCTTACATTAAGTAAAGAAACGTCAAAAAATCTTTTTTTTCTACTCATTGGGATATTATGTTCATTTATAACAATCTACCCAATGCTCAATTTATTCGAAATTATGGAATCAAACTTTGATAATGTTACCTATTGAGATACATAATGCTAGAAAACTTAGACACAATCAGTGCATTTTAAACAGAAATAGATGGTGAATAGCAATGAAATCTAGGATGTTCATATAGTCCTATTTAGGACTCGTCAACTAGATGTACCTCCATCTAGTATTTGATTTTCACTCCGTGACTCCAGAATACAAGTTCATCCAACTGATGAGTCCCAAATAAGACGAAATGAATGTCCTGAATTCCACTGCTGTTCACCATCTATCTCTGCTTATAGTGTTATTCATAACTAAACCTTCCGAATAATCCACAGGTTACTAACTTCTGTTATTAAACTTCAGTAAACCAATTTTGAATTTATGTTAATGTGTTTATAGGGAAGTAATAAACCTGGAAAGAAAGAAATAAGACATTTGCATATTTTGTGAAATTATTGAAAATTGAAAGAATTTTTTTCTTTTCACTGGAATTGAATTTTTTATGACTCAGCATTTTTGTAAGCGAACGAATTTTACTTGTTATTTCGTCAAAACCAAAACAAAACAGAAAAAAAGGGACAATGAGTCAGATTACTGTTAAAAATGGAATAGAGAAAATTTATCAGTAACCAAACGGAAAAAAAACATATATATATTCAACAAAATCTGAGTTTTACACCGTCTTTATTCGAAATAGCTAAAACATATAATGTATCGAATATCGAACTATATGTAAATGGATAGAATGCCAAACTTATGGTGCTTATTAATGAACTAGAAATTCTTATAATTTACAAGTGCCCTTCAAGTAAGTAAGTATTAATATGGGTAAATGACATAATTTCCTAGTGATCGACCTTGTCCAAATCCTTTCTGTGATATATCCACAATCTTATAATATGAGAAAAACCATCTTATTTAGGGATTGATAGGCTTACCATTGAGACATGTTACAATTTATCTCAGCATTAAGAATATTTTTATATAGTTGATATCATGAGTCAATTGAAGGTAGACCGCCATGAAAAACCTAGGAGCAATGGACGGCCCTTTTCGTCCTATTGTGGGACTCCTCCACAAAACCCCTTTCTGAATAAGAATATTTGATGCATATGTTACATGTTTTCATCTACACTGTACTACACAAAAACATATGCCTCTTTTTCAAGGAAAAAAGGAAGAGGATAATTCATGGGAATTTCATTGATGATTAATAATCGGTAAAGTATGTTAGTAAAATCGTACTTGGATATAACTTGTATCATTATGTATTTTTATCATCGTTACCGAATGATTTATGTTATTTTAACAAGATGCACTTAGGATAATCAGAAAGGGTGAGACTGTAATTTATGGACGACCTTTGAAAGGACTCAAGTGACCTTGAGAAATATTAGCCAATCAGGTAACAGTTAGTATGGAGTAAAAATATATTATACAAAACCAGAGAACTAGAGTGGATACACTTCTTTTACAAGGTCCAAAACCTTTTCAAGGTTAGAAAGAGGTTCAAAGGTTCTAAAATCGTAACTCATAAAATAAAGGAACTCATCCATATGGCTTCATTGTTTGCGTGTACTCCGGTTGTGTAGGCTTGTTCTTTTTATTACTCATATATCCCTACAATATTCATACCACTGAACAGTCGAAGTTTCAGTAAAATCTGCGATTATTGCAGTCAATGCTACTGGTGCTTTTATTATACAGTTTTCGGCAATTATTATAATATACCTTAGTCTCAATCTGGATCGAGCGAAAAAAGTTCCTATTTTGGCAGACATCTCCCTCCAACATATGTTACATTGAAGGACAACATCATGGTAGTCTGCACAAGGTCTACAAGTAATTTAATTACCGCAATCACGAATACAAGAACTTCTTATTAGTCTCATTTATTGTAGCTGCTTAGTTGTCACATCTCTGAAATCCTCCGTGAACCGATCGTACATGACAATCAGGTACTGGAGGTGCCGGATAAAGGAGTGTTTGGCATGGGGTTAGCGACTATATCCCGTAGGAAACTAACTCGCTAAAAGAACGCTAACCAGAAAAAATTTGTTCAACCCATTTAAATGTACAAAAATACAGAAATATATTGTACTCCATTATCTTCTTAACTGGTTCATTTCCTTTAAAAATTCTGAAGTGTCAAGTGTACTTAATACACTGAAAGCTATTTTGAGTTAAGCTCACTTTTAATTTCTCCATTTATAATAATAATTTCACAAAATATACTACTTGAATAGCAGAGATGGATATTGGCTAGTAGTGGAATGCAGGACACTTGTTTCGACGTATTTGGGACTGGTGAGTTGGATGTAGCTGCATCTCGGAATTGATGTTCACTGTGGGACTGCAACCCAGTACCGTTCGCTTCAAACGCCATCACGTTATCCACTCGACCAATGAGTCCTCATAGTCACTTGCTTGTGCGATGGGGTGATGCAGTACATCCAGCTGACGAGTCCCAAATAGGACGAAACGCGCGTCCTGGATTCCACCGCTAGCCACTATCCATCTCTGCTAACCATGCTTGTGAATTAAGGTATATCGAGGCAATACGCACAGTATGAACATATGCCAATTAGAGACTGACCAGTTGCAGTCCTAACAAATCGATGGGAAGATTCAAACAAACAATACTAAGTTGAATTTATACTACTTGAATGTTTAATTAAGTAGTTTACTGTAAAATTTAAAAAGATAACATTTGTAATCACTTGAAATTGTGCAGAAACAAATTAAGGTAATATTGAAAGTTATCATGGTAGATAACAGATAGTCATATGTTCTTCATTTATAAAACACAAAACTTCAGCTTAAAATTACTGAAATCGTAATCTGATAAACAAGTGAGTCTTGTATTTAACGGTAAGACATTGTCCTGATTACCTAAAAACCATCATCCAAATGCTTATTAAATTAACGTGTCAGTTTAACTCTTCCAATGAATCTAGAAATATTACTTCCGATAATCCGAATGAATTCAATCATTATTTATTGTGAATAGAACATTAATAAGTGTCAATTAACGGAATGGACATACAGTCTAATTTACTGAATATTTCTTTATAATTTCTAACGCATTTGAATGAGAATTTTACACAAAAACTTTTACAGTATGTCTTGAATTAAGCAAAATTTGAAATAAGATTCTTTAAGGTATGGGATGAGCAAAACAAGGATACAATCCACATTAAAACAAAACACTCGCATATGTGGTTCTTCATTATCACGATTAAACCATTCAACTTACGGCTACTCAGTTGTATTTTGTAAGGTGCACTCACTGTGGGTTGAGTTCATTTGAGATACTAATGAAAACTGAAAAACACTGATCAGCTACTTGGTCTAGTTTGAAACTCCTTACCAGTAAACTATATCAGAAATTGATTGGATATACATTTGTGCCGACGGACACTGACATGATTGCTTTAATAATTAATCATTCACTGAGTAATCTGATAGTCCTGGATCCAATCCCTGTACGGGACGTGCATATAAATTTCTGTGACCTCTCATACTAGAAGTAAGAAGCTTTCTGTTACCTTCATACTCCTAACAATACCTCAGTTATCATCTATATGTGTTAAGTACAACTTATAAACCAAACCAAAATCTGTAAAATTCATCCAACTGCAATGTGTAGTTATTTGAACGACATTCAATACAATTCCGTATAGACAAATGAAGTTTGTTATACAGAACTGAATACATAAGTCAATGTTTGAAATTCAGACAACATTCATGATTAGAAACTTTTAACTGACTTCAAAGTGTACTTTAAACCATTACAATATTATAAAACATGAATACAAACAGAACAACATTGGACAATGTCCGTAAACAAAATATACGTTTAAATTATTTATAACTTCTAAAAGATTTTAAAGATATTTTAAAGGTTTCAGCTACCATAATATACGTTTCATAATCAGAAGGGATATTGTGGATATTATAGTAATTTTAATAGTTGAGATCATGAATCAGTTGAAGCTAGACCACCATGGAAAACCTGGAAGCACTGGGCGGCCGTTTCGTTCTATTATGGGACATTAAACCGTTGGGTGCCGATTCAGTGGTTTAGTGGTGAAGCGCTTGCGCGCGAAACTGATAGGTCCTGGGGTCGAATCTCGTGAGGCTGGATCGTCGATGCTCACTGCTGAAGAGTCCCATAGTAGGACAAAACTGCCGTTCAGTGCTTCAAGTTTTCCATGGTGGTCTAGCTTTGATTGATTCATGATCTCAACTATTAAAATAAGTTTTGTAAGCTGATATAGAAATATTTCTTTCAAAAATAGGTTTACGAAAATTAATCATTGTGTATTTCATTTTCTTATAGACGAATTTTTTTCGATTGTTGGTATTGCGTTTGTCTGCATATCTGTATCCATTTATCACTATTCTCTGATAATTTTCTACGTCAATTACTCTCTATTATATATTTAGAAATGTTTACATGTATGGTTACAACGCATGGTTACATGCGTATACATATTTTGCATGTCCGTGTGTATATACAAATCTATTCTTATTGTTATTAGAACCAATTTACAGACAACTTAGTTTAACTGTTAACTTTAGTGCTAAAAATTAGGTAAGGGTGATGATTAGTTAACAAACTGATTTAAAACGCTGTTCATTTACAATTCAATTTAGGTATTATTCACTAATCAATCATATCAGTCTGTAGAATAACCATGATTTTCCAATCTGAAAAGTAAATTAATCAGCTGAGGAACAGTAGTAATTACAATCGTAATTACAGTAATCCAATTAGAGTAATGGACGAAAACATAAGTGGGGACTACCTGATATATTTTGTTACAAAATCATGGAAGATCATGATAAAATATGAGAATCATACATAACACACTTCATTTGCGAAGTTCCGTCATTTGTCTTTCACATTCTATATAACTCTTCCGATTTACAATTGCTTTATAGTCCCGTTGTTGTTTTCTTCAAGTCAACCCTCATAGTCTTCTGCTGCCAGGTTTTCCATTTCCAATCGGTATTGCTTACTACTTATATCTGTCGACATAAGTAGCATATGCCACACTCATCCCCCCGTTAAATCATATGCTACTATCAATTCCGTACATTAATAGTTTATCTATTTTTTAAAATAGTATACACATGACCAAGAGGAGAATATTTAAGTCAACGTTCACCTTCTTTTCTGCTTTTAAAATATGTATACATAAATGTATAGAAACTTTTTGTATTTACATCTCTCCCCCCAAAATAAGTAACACAGTTTATACGTACACACAATTAGAATGACAATACTGTAACAATGATAATTGAGACAGTTTTTTTCTTTCCTGTAATTACCATTGGAATATGTTTTTAATATCAGAAAATTCACCAGAATGAAAGATAAAAGTTGAATTTTGTTGAAGTCAGAACAAAAAGAACAAAAAAAACAAACAAATAAATATTTAAATATACTGACTGGGAACAATTTGAAGTTTTGAAAAAAAGGATATTGGAAAACTCACATTTTTTAAAATGTGTTTTGTTTATCCCTACTATCTTTGGGTTTTGTATAAAGGTTGTCATTTGTATACAATACAATAAATTATACATTATTGAAATGATTAGATGAGAGAAAATTGACGCTTACTGATAAATTCAGTATAACAAACTTCAGTTCATAATAACTATAACAATAGTAATCATAATAATAATAATAATAATAATAATAATAATAATAATGGTAATCATAATGGTAAAATGCCCAGCTAAACTATGAAAAATAAAGTGTTGTTCCTATTCATTGTTGACCATTTTTACAATTAGCCGACATAATGATACTATTTATTCGTATGTACATAGGGTAATATTTTTATTCGTTCATTATGTAAGTTTTAATAGACAAAATGAAGAGAAATGGTCAGAATAGATAAATTATGTCAAAAAATTAACCCCATTTATTTTTGTATTCATTTTTTGTTGCTAGGGTAATCAAATCCTATGCAGAGTATAGTTTTATTCGTTTATTCATTTAAAAATATTGATAAATGTTTAGTTGAATAAAAATGGTACAATCGTTTGAAGTGGTCAACTAACTGATATTAAATTTGTATTTGAAAAGGTGTCTTTCGACTATACGATGAATTAAAAGTACCGAGAGAAAATGATAATTTAATTAATTAATGTCATAGTTGAGCTACTAAATATGTTTAGTACAATTAGGGCAAAGTAAAAGAAACATTCTCCTTATGCTTTCAGATATATCTAGACTTGTGTTAAGTACTATAAGTAGCCATATATTAACTGTTGAACATCTAATTTAAATGAAAAGTTAATCAAACTTATCATCACCTACACCGTATTTCCTAGATCATCATCATCATCATGATGTTATAATAATCCAATAAGAACTTTAGATGTGAAGTAGGATTGTATACATCTTCGATTCTGCATTGTATATACTTATTGATATCAATATCAAAAGTATTTTACTGTCTATATATTCAACTGCTTACTTTAATAACACTACAACATTAAATTATGTACATATTCTTAGTCGAATTTACAAAATCTAATAACAATAAAGTCTAACAGCATAGAAATAACTATTACGAAGATTGTAAAACAGTCGAAGATTATCTAACTAAATGAAAAAAATGATTGTCTTCGTGATGACGGTCTATAGGTGAAGTTGATGAATATCTAAGAAGCTGAGAAGGAGCCGAACATATTCCATCCAGTTAGCTTTTGGTAGAATATTCCAGAATCACTACTAACCCCCTGTATGCGGATTGAATAACTATAATGATAATTTCGTTTTTATTAAAAATTATAAATATCTGACAGTTTTGTACCATAATTGACACTGTTTGGAATAACTTATTTTCAACTTGTCTTCTGTCTTCTCTTTTTACCACTTGGGAAGGTTCTAACGTTCGAGTGTCAAGTATTATGCGACATATTAAGAATTTAAGTTCGAGATATATCAGTCTTCATTCTAGTATCAGTCAACTAGATCGAACATATACTCGTCATTGCAAAAGATTAATACAAACTAGCTGATTTAGTATGATTGAGTAAAATGATCAAGTAAACTTTTATTCATATGTAAAAAGTGATTATGATTTAATAAGATTATTAGCATATTCACAAGTTCACAACCGATGATGATGTCATTAAATGTATTAGGAAAAGATTTTGCAATCCACGTATCTAGATGGTGACCTATAACGGAAGACACTAACACAGTTCTGTGTTAAGATGAATCAGATTTAAAATTCTTCCCATTTTTAAATGAGTATAACATCTAATCTAAACTCATGATGGTCATTTATTTACCATGTACCAATTGATGTACTCGACATCAAGCTGTATTCTTTTTGTGTTACGTTTTGTTACTAACATAATAAATAAATGCAATTAGATGAAGCATAGTTTATGCCTAGTAATTATTAGTTAGTGACGGTGATTTTTGAATAAAGTGGACAATGAATAATTCTTTATCGGACTTTTTCTTTTTGACCAAGTTAATTTAGTTCACTACTATGTCTAGTCTAGACTTAATTCTGTTTGATTTTGTAACGTATGTTCCGTTGCATAAGATACAATGAAATAGTAGCTTAACAGATTCAATGTAATACTGATTAACTTGATAGTAATAAATATAGCATTTGGCATAACATTGTATGTAATTCTGATAAACTTGTTTCCAATGAGGAACATTAATGATTGCTTTTCTTAAACCTGAATAATCAATAATATTCACACACTTGTAATCACTACTCTATTTATTATTATTCATTGAAGGTATCTGATTAATATACTACTTTGGATTTTCTTTCACGATTTCATAGACAATTACAGCATCTAGAGGTCTTCCAAGCTCGGAAACACGTTATGTTGCAGCTCGTTATTTGCAAGATTATTTTGATCCCCCTCCAAGACATTCTAGAAACTTTACACTTGGTAGTTATAATGTTAAATCGAATAGACCTCAAAGACATGTTAATTCAAGTCGAATTCCACGTCAGACAACGGATAATGAATTTTTATATGAGCAAGACTCAGAAATTATGTTTGATAATAAAGCTTTGGTTCTTGGACAAGAATACAAGGTATGTATTGAAAATTTAATATAATTCTACTTTATCTGGAATGGCTATCATACCACTCATTGTGTATTGACTTTTGCTCAAGATTTGAATTTTGGGCGGCTGAAATCAATCTATAAGAAACTCTGTACGTATGTTTTGCTCTAGCTAGTAGGGCATATCAACGACTTCTAGAAACATTTGTTCACCGTTCAATTCAAAGTTGTTACCACCGAGCTATTCTAGCCACCAATGGCCTACTGCAGAGATGAAGAGTTCATGCCCATTGATTCCTAAATAGAAACAAGAGGCCTTAATGATAGCTTAGAGTAAACTATCTATGCTTACTGTATCGTTTGAAATAAATTAAGTTAAGCATCACGGATTCCATTGTGAAACTAATCTTTACTTTTCGAAAGATGTCATTGTTAGTGTAATTCATTTGATAAAGTATTCACCGTTGAGTAAACAATCTAGTTTTGATTGTAAAGTTGTTTATGATAACGATGTGTTTTAAAGTATAGGAACCCATGACCTGTTTCATAGTTCCACAAGTAATGTAAATGTTATTTTAGTGATTTCTGATGATAAAACGTCATTCATGAGCTCCTAACTATTCATCTCCAAAACACACTTAATTGAAAGTAAAGCGCACCAAATATCTCCTACAAACTAATAATTTTCTTTATAAAATTAAATTAATTGTTTATTTATCTTTTACTCTTTTTTACAGGCATTTGTTAGAGCCTGTGTATTTCAAGAAGATCAGTCTACTTCTGATGGCCCAGAAGCATGTACATCATCTGCATGGTCTCATGGTTTTGGACCAGATCGCCACCTTCCACCATGGAGCGAAATGATGAATAAGCATTTAAGAGATAGCGAATTCAGAAACAAAAATAATTTAGATACATCTGATAATAGGAATAGTAATTCATTAGGATTTAGCCTAACACGTGGTTTGACGGGATCAAACAGAGATCTATTTATTATTGGACTAGTTGCTGTTATCGTTAGTTTGGCATTAATTGCCGTGATATGCATTGCATTTGGATGTTTTATACGGTAAGAATACCAGTCTTCTGTACATAAAATTATTATCACTATTATTCATATTTCCTCTTGTGAAGAAATTGTTTAAAATAAAAGGATTTTGTGAAGACCGTTCAATTTCATAGACTGTATCACGGACTGATATTAATAAGACTACCAACGGAAACCAGATAGCACTGGACAACTGTTTCGTTTAAGTATATGACTCCTCATCAGCGTATGGTATCGTGAACTGCTTAAATTTAGACGTGTGAAACGTTAGATACTTGCTCATTGGCCTATAGTTCAAACCCTCAACTGGAGTCTAGAAGGTATTCAAGTCTGTCCTAGGTGAGATCATGGTTTTGCACTGTGGGAGGAACCCATATCAAGATGAAAACATGTTCTGAACTTCAATGGCTTTTTAACTAAATCAACCATTATGTAAACTAGGATATTGTTAGTAGATAAGTACTCTGCTTTTAAATAGTGTTTCACAGAAATGAGACCACATTTCACTTTATTCTGCTCGTACGGACGACATCACTTTTTTACCAAGATATTTGAAGTTAAATCAGATTACATATACTCGGTTTTAGTAAATGAGCTAAAGTATACAATTTTTATTATATTGTTGCAACTGTTAATAAAATGTGATAGAGCGAACATCACTATTAGTGATGAGGTCTGTAGTATGTACAAGTTGAGTAAAAATAGGCCTAAGTGGATAAATTCTAACTTGTGACCACCGCTGTGATCCTCCTAGCCCAGTTATTATATTAAATATTCAAGTCTAGCTGTATGATGAATAAAGCATTTGGATTTATTAAATTCCATTTCAATAAATTTTCCTTCTGTTTTAATTGAAGTCGTAAACGTCGCCCGAAACTAATTAACCATTTAACTCCAAATGATTCGACAATGAAACAACCACTGATGCGAATGAATGATTGTGGTCCAGCTAATGGCAACAGTTTTCCTTTAATGACAAGTGGAATAGAAGTAATAAATACTAATTTTACATCCTCTGTCGACAAACGTGGAAGTTCGGTTGTTGGTAATGATAGTCTAAAAAGTGGAACTTTAATCGCTGCCTCTTCACCAGGACCACCACAATCCTCATTAATCTCCTCAATATCAGCCACAGGTAGACCAAATCTGATCACATCAGCAACATCGAGCCCACTTACAGGTATTGCACAATTGGATCCAAGACATCACGTTACTCAGGCTCCTTCTCCGATAATAGATATGTCAGTACACCATGGTTATTCACTTGGTTTGACAAATTTCAATAGTCCACCAGTAATTCAACAACCAATGAATCCTTTTATTTCTCATCGAGGTGGGACTTCAAGCAGTCATACAGGAAGTCATCCAAGTTCTTTAACTGGCAGTGGAACAGGTGCAGCATACAATGTAATGGGAATAAATAATAACTGTGTTAGTGAAAATAATGCTGCTACAATGTGTGACGGTTTAATAATTGCAAGAAATGGCTTACCAGGTTCTGAAAGTGGACCTGAATCTGCATTTGACATGCCGCACTTACCATTTGAAATGAAAGGTAAATAATAAGATTCAATTTAACGAGATAAATGGTTTTAATAGGAAAATAGTTAAGATAAATGTTGTAAATGAAAATACCAGAATGAAAGAAGCACTGCCTTCTTCATGTCAGTGATCCTACCACGTTAGTACATTGCTTAGTACGGTGCTGAAAACAATTTGGATTGGTAAATGTGACATGAAAGCAGATAAGTGGACAACAAAAAATGGACTGAGAACATCCCTCAGCGTTTCCATTTTTCCATTTACACAACGGTTTCCTTCATTTTTTCCGTTTATTTATTCGATGAATGCTGAGTAATATAGCACAATCTTTATTATTAATTTCAGCACAAGCATCTAGTTATTAGGAGCACCCAACTATATACAAGTCAGTATAGTACAGCCCATAAATATAGTGCAAGCCTGCGAGTGAAATGACACGTACTATAAGAATTGCGTTTTACTATACAGTAGCCACACATTTAATGAGCATACAGTTGAAGACATTCCTGTATAAAACACAGTGAACATGAAAAATGTCATGGACAGACTGAGCCAAAATAAATATATTAAATTAAATTTGGAAATTATCACTGATGTACTCATCAGTAGGGTAAAACTAACTTACTATATAAACCCAGCTTACGTCCCCTATTAGTGGGTGAACAATCCAACGCTTGGTAGATTCTGCTTCATAATGATATGAACAGGCGACATCGAAGGATCAATATATGCGTATAAACTATTGTTAGGAAGCTAAAACAAAATTAAATTTAGCTAACAACCTGTCAATTAAATAAAAAACAGTTTATTTCATTGTAAACATCAAATAGAAAGGAAATATGATATAACCTAAAGAATAAATTTCAGGACACTTTAAACAAACAGAATACTATTACCTTTGTGAATATTGGTGTTCAGTCAATTGTCAATAGATAAAAGATGAAAGTGTTCACCTTGGAAAAGGGAATGAATTTCAAAGTAATGCTGGAGGTGAATAATTTTTTTCTATTATTCATACTCAATATTAACCGTGTAACAGTAGCCAATGTCATTTATATCCTGAAGACTTAGTGCACTATCCTTTGATTATTACGGAAATAGTTGTTTTTTTCAAACAACATCTTAACAAGTATTTGTGAGATAATTCATCATCATTTAAGAAATATCTAGATTTTCTGCATATTGAATCCGTTCCCTAAATATCAGCTTACAATGAAGTATATTTTTAAATGAAATGGTCTTCACAAATCATACTTTCTTGATAGTTACTATGTCCTCGTTGGTGAGTTCATAATTGTGTTTGTAGAGACGAATTCATTTTATCACCCGGATTACATGTTAATTTCTTTATATTGTGTACAAGACTAAGAGTATACTTCATTGACAAACAGATCAAATTAGAACTGACATTACTAAAAAATGAACTAGTGTTGGTTAGTCGCTTGCCTACAGGCTAATATTATATTTCTATACGAAAACCGAAACCTGTGAAGTCTACCAAGTTAAACACGGCAACAACGAACTACTGATTACACTGAAGAATCATGACGTCATATTGTGAATTTAAATCATAATAATAATACCTAAATGACAATAAAATATTAATGTTTCGGAGTCGGTGCTTCATTAAAACGAGCTTGTATTGTACTGTAGTATTCAGAACTGAAACACGATTCTTACGTACTTTCTAGTTTTTTGATGAAACAAAAATACTTGACTGAAGCTAATGAATAAGTGGGTCTAAGTAAATAATGTATCCAATACCTAAGCGAAATACGAACTAAAAATCTTCACAAGCATTATAAGCAAAGGTGGACAGTGGTTAGCAGTGGAATCCAGGACGCTCGTTTCGTCCTATTTAGGACGCGTCAGCTGGATGTACCTGCATCTCAGAGTTGATGTTCACTCTGGAACTCGAAACCAGTACCGTTCGCTTCAAACGCCATTGTGTTATCCACTCAGCTACTGAGTTCTGATAGCTACGTTTAACAGAATAAATTATTTTCCGAAAGTTTCTCACCTATATTGAAAACTGTACCTCCATCTATTAATTTACGTATCGACTGTTGCAAATATTTGATCAGATTACTTTTGAATAAGTATGTTTAGAAATTTTCACTAATTTATATTCATCGTCGTTTTTGTTGTTCACATTGGTTAAAAAATAAACTTAGGTCATTCGATGCATCACCCGATCCCTGTTAATCTTCTACCAGACCATGTTGCACGACTTTCGGCTGCAGACAATTTATTATTTTCACAAGAATATGAATCTATTGAAACTGAACAACAGTTCACATGGGAAAATTCTAATCTTGATATGAATAAACCTAAAAATCGTTATGCTAATGTAATTGCTTATGATCATTCCAGAGTTGTTTTACAATCGATCGATTGTGTTCCCGGTTCCGATTATATCAATGCCAATTATATCGATGGTTACAGACGGATGAATGCTTATATTGCTACTCAGGTAGGTCAATCTGATAAGCTGATATAAATAGATGTTTTTTCTGAAAAATTAAATTTGAAATAACTTACACCAACAAATCTTCTATACATAAAACCTAAGAGTATTTGTCTTGCCTAATCTTTTTCTAAAAGTTCTGACGAAGTGATGCTTGATCACGTCGTGCTATTCAATGCCGTATAGTATTCGGACAAAGATATTGTTCGTACAATAATCAAGCATATTGTTAAAAACCTCTTCTTGACTTCAATTTTTGAATAATTCAAATGAATAATATAATATAAATATGATATTGTAGCTACTTACTTACGCCTGTTACCCCTTGTGAAAGAGCATAGGCCGCCCACCAGGATTCTCCATTGAACTCTGTTTGAAGTTAATTTGCATAATAATGACTGTTTTGGATACTATACAAAACCATCTAGTAAAGTCAAGCAGTAGACACGAACAATAAAGTACATTGATGGATGTGTAAGACATAGTTTTAAGAATTATTCTCGTAGTAGAAGTACAACATTTCGATTTTATCATCACTAGTTAATTTTAAAAACTTGAATCTGATGTTGAATATAAATGAGAACCACCCATAAAGAATTATACATATAGATATATTCATATGTATGTATTCATGAATATAAATAATCATAAATGGACTAATCTTATTAGTAACAAACCCTTGTATGTACCTACTTTGGCCTAATAACATTTCACTGTAATAACCATAAATCTTATAAATTTATAGTTGTAACAAACTATGTGTATAACCAATGCAAATAATAAAAACAGATTTGAGATAACGCTTGTTTAAACCCCCATAGTACAACAAAGAACAGGTGACCACTATATTTAAATAATATAAATTACCAGGTCATTTATATGTTAAAGCATATCTGGTTATTGGTTTCTCTAGATTAGCTTATATTTGCTGTAAACACTATTATGTTACATTGTACTTTTTTAGTTTCATTCCCTCTCATTTTAATTGTGTTCGTTTTTTGTTTAACACTGAAGGGTCCTACCCCCGAGACATTTTCCGATTTTTGGCGTATGATATGGGAACAACGTGTATCGATTATTGTAATGATGACTAGATTAGAAGAACGTTCTCGTGTTAAATGTGATCAGTATTGGCCATTACGTGGACCAGAATCATTTGCAAGTGGCCTCTTATTGGTCAAACCTGTTGATACCATTGAACTAGCCTATTATACAATACGTACATTTCATTTAACAGCTCGTGGAATCGAAGATGAATGTAGAGAAGTTAAACACTTCCAATTTACTGGGTGGCCAGATCATGGTGTTCCTGAATATCCTATACCATTATTATTATTTATTCGACGTGTTCGAGCTACACTGACACCGAATACAAATAATATGTTTCAATCCAATCATAATGTGGAACAAGCACCAATTGTTGTTCATTGTTCCGCTGGTGTAGGAAGAACAGGTTAGTTGGTATTGAGATGTATAGAATCACTAATTTTTCAATAGCTTAGGAACTCCCCTACTATGGGAAAAACAATCCATTAAACTATAACTAAACTCCTCTGAATTAGGATTCAAATGCACAAGACATAATTATATGATCAAATATATCCATATACTTTTCTCATCCGAAGATAAGAAAACATTACGCTTGATTAACAATTCCAATATGGAATAAAACTGTTTCTTTTTTTAAACTGCTAAAATAATCTTTTTAACAAACCTTAATCATGATTAGTTTCTGAATAAGCGACACGATTCATTACGTAAATAAATAAGCAAACTCTGTACAGGATCTAGATAGGGAACAGAAACTCTCTCTCTCTCACTCTCTCTCTCTCTCTCACTTCAGAATAAGGGGATTTTTGTTTGCGCTTATTATCTTCAATACAATTAAATGAAGAGTAATTATGATAGGAAATGTGTATTCTCAAAAAAGAAGCCTAAGCATTGTACTCTAAATGAAAATAAGGAATTTGAAGGTTTATCTATATTCATTGTAATTTATTACATTCAGTATACGGAAGCCTAAAATAATTTATATGTATCTAATGATCTCCTTAATCTCACGGGATATCAAGATGATAATAAAAAATAATCATAGTAACAATAATAATGATAATAATAACAAAAACAGACATAAAGTTTTTTTGAATTCTGTCAGCATAGTACAGAAAAAAAACTCACACACCTACATATACTTATATATATATATATATACACTTACAAGAACAGAGAAGCCAATAGGAGTATGGGAGAAATATGGTTTATGTAATGGGATTATTGATCGACTACAGTTTATACTCTTATTCCTACCATCTTAGTTTCCTACTTTCTTTCTCTCGTTTTTTTTTCTTGTTTGGATAACTCATTATCTAACTAGTTTATATTTTCCTACATAACGTTCAGACAGTCATTTCTGAGGTGTTAAAAATATAACTTTTCCAAGTATTTGAATGTATAATCGTTCTCTATAATGTCATCATCAGACTCTGAGGCTATGATATACTTATTGTACCACAATGGTAAAAATACAGTATTTATAAGTGAATTAGGTAATATTGTACATTAAAATAATGAACTTTTGCATTGGTCTTACTTGCGTACATTAGGACAGTCATCTCACAAAATTCACGAGACTGTAATGAACGAAATGTAAAAGTATTTAATGACTTGTTCAACAATGATCGGGTCTATGAAAGATGAAATTCTGTTTTTTCTTGAGGTTCATAAATCCTTTAAAGGTTTTAAATAAAAATTCTATCAATCAGAAGACAAAAATCTGGAATAACAACCTTATAGAAACCCTCTATAGGCATTAACTAAATGAGTATTTATTTGGTGACTTAAATGAAAGTTCATTGTACTTAGTAGACAACATGAATCATTGAGTAGCTGGTTTTTCTGGCCTAGTTACCTAGGAAACCGAAATATAATTATTTTATGGGCGTCGAAACTGAACAAATGATGAAGTTGCACATTTCAGCATTACCTACATCTGTTGATTCTGAAAATAAATTATTCTTTTACACGATAATTTATAAACCATCACAGAAGGACTGAGAGAACGATTTACTGACTAATAACACTGTATAAAGACAATCGTAACAAACACCTTAATAGTTATTATCAACATTAAGCGATTGTACTATTTGATACTGTAGCTAGCACTGAAATCGAAGATAAAAATTTTGACAAATTTCAGATTAGATATACCTTCATCTCAGTATTAATTTTTATATTAGTGCCTGTTATTATACTGTTATATAATTACTTGTCAGTTCTTATATATTCCCCCTGATTCGTGGTTGAAGCAATTCATTTCTTTATCACGATCATTCTTACAAACCGTGAATTGTTAAAGATGACCTGCTGTATAATTTAATGAACAAATCACCCGTCATATATATTATCTTAAATGATAAGAATCATATCTTTCATACCAATGATATAAATGTTACAGGCACCCATAAACATTACATATTTCATGCCTACATTTTGTATATATTATGATAAACCTTCAAAGCTGCTACTCAAGACTCATTTTACTAAGCAAAAAGCAACAGTGCCAATATCCTAAGACTATGCCATAAAATATTTGAAGCACCAAGGAAATTTGTTTCTCTTTTGTTATCCTTCTTCCCGATATTTCGTGAATAGACAAGTTATATATTGATAAAAGTGTTGAAGTTAACTGACAATAGTTGCTATGTATACATATTTATATATGAATTTCTGAAAAGATGGTGGTTGGAGGTGATCAACAGGAAACCTCGGACCCGGGTTTTGTGCTACTTGGCACTCGTCAGCAAGGTGTACCTTTAATCTTGAGGGAAGTGGTGCTCCCTGTGTCCGATGCTCCCAGTGTCCAGCCACCTAGATTAGTGGCCACATTGCAACTTGATCGATAGCATTCGATCAGCACTAAGAAGGACTTGATACACATGGCATTGATCACCACCCAGTGATCAATCAATTGTGATATATGAATTTGTCTTTATCACATTGTAAAATACTACTTTTAGTTAATTTAAAACCTATTATTCATTCAATATTATATAATTTCTTCTACAATATCCTTTCTAATTAGGTGCATTCATTGTAATTGATATTATGCTAGAAAGATTGAAATATGAAAAAACTGTAGATATTTATGGTTGTGTTAAAGCATTACGTAAACAACGTAATTTTATGGTTCAAACAGAAGATCAATACATTTTCATACATTCAGCTCTGTTAGAAGTAATTGACGCTGGTAATACTGAAGTACCAGCTAGAAATCTATCTGCTCATATTAAAAAATTACGTATGTTAGATGCAACTGGTGGATCAGGTATGGAATTAGAATTTAAAGTAAGTTAATTTTTTTAGAAAATTAATTATTTAAAGTTTAGCTTATATGAAGATAATTTACATCGTCTATTGGATTTAGCTCTAAAACAACCAAAATCCAGATAACAAATGAAAAATGTTTGATTTCAGCTTTTGTCTCTATATCATTCAGCATCCAATACTTGTCAAGTGGTCGAACTTGGAAACTTCAAGAGTAGTGTAGTGTGCGCTGCTTATATCCATCTAAGTAGTATATGACGATGGTCAGGCATAGAATGTATTTCAGTAGAAGATCGATAAGGAAAGAACGGAAGCAAAGCGCAATTGGTGTGAAAATACATGGACAATAATAATCAGAGACGATAAACTGATATTTACAGAAGGGATAGTCAAGACTGAGACAATTGATTAATAATTTGCAAATTAACTGTTTACTGTATGGTTGTCAAATTGTGGTAAGATAGTCAGTGATTTTGTACTAAATGATATTCGGTCGTCCCCACCCGCGTTCTACTCACTACCGTAGCGATGAATGTCCCACCTTTAAAAAAATTAACTCAAATATTTCCGCCTTTAGATAATACAATCCACATGTACCTGCTGTTGACAATCTTACTAGTATTACGAAATTTATGGATAGTTTATGGCGATAAATATGAATAATAACGAGGTTTGAGAGGAAGCGTTGATTAACACTCAAAATGGAGGACATTCGATTGACACTGAAATACATTTTCCCTTGATCACTCATTAATGCAGCCAACAATACTGATTGATAGAATGTACTGATTATTTTGCCAAGAATGTAGATAGTCAACAATAATTTTGATCTACTATATATTAGGATAACCAAATTTCGCCAAATAACTTTATTGTCCAATGTATATAAATTATGTTACATGATCATTTGGATTTACTTTCAAAGAAGCTATTTCAACTAAAACAATCGGTTCATTGATTAGTTTTATCCTCATCTTTTGGCCTAAAAATAGTTTTAAAAGAAATTGAAGTCTTTCATCCAATTGCTTATAAAAGAAATCTCTTATGTAATTACTATTCTGAGTATTCATAAATATATTGTTTTCTGAAGCGTTTTAGGTAAATACGTTTATAATCAGAAAGGGGTTTTGTGGAGATTTCAGTATTTTCATAATTGAAAGCATGAGTCCATTGACTGGTAGGTCCTGGGTTCAAGTCTCGCGAGGCGAGATCGTGGATGCGCACTGCTGAGGAGTCCCACAATAGGACGAAACGCCCGTCCAGTGTTTCCAGGTTATCCTTGGTGGTCTAGCTTCAATTGACTCATGCTTTCAACTATGAAAATACGTTTAATATGTAAGCGATATTCTTCATTGTATTGACAAACATTTAAATGGACAAATCATTAACTAGTTTACTGAATCTCAAGTCATTTCACTACTGATTTCGAGCTAGAGAGTATGGGAAACATCATTTATTTATCAAAGTTCTCAAAATATCCTATTCAAAATTAATATTGTTTTCTCTATATGTAAATATTCGTATGAAATCACAATGTGTGGTAGAATTTCACTGAGAATTTGTTACTAGGTTTATTTTCGAAGTTAACCTATACACGAAATATTTGAAGGAATGATCTGTTTAATTCAGTGAATGAGGTCATTTCAATCAATATTTATCATTACCAACTCTATCTTATTGTATAGTACAAAGTCGAAATTACAGTTTTATGAATTTTCAACATTTTACACTAAAGCAAAATTATAGTCAAACAAATATAGCTCAACTAGGCGTGGTAAAAAAAAACAAAGCGGAAAAACTAACTTTGTGGGTGTATTATGTGTTTACCAATCAGATAAACAATCAATGAATTCGTTGTCGACTGAGGTCGCCTTAAAGATTTTATCATGATGCATTTGAAGTTCATCGGTACAGCGTTTTAAACACAACATGTGCTATAAAACGTTCCATAAGTGACCTTGAAACGTTCATAATAAGTGAATTTTTCCTTTTTACATTCATAACTTAACAAGTTTACATTTCTATAATTAAGTATTATTTACGGATCAATTTTTAAGAAAAACGGATGTCTTTGGTCATACTGTCTTCTAGCCAGTGTACAACTTTGAATTTCAACTAATGTTTATTATGTATGATTTGTTTGACTACAAATGCTTTTAGAGATGAACCGGTTAACTGGTCATCTTCAATATGGACTACAAAGGTCGTCAGTTTAAGCTATAAATGTGAATTACTAAAAATTACTAAATTTAAATGAAATACTATCTCTGAACATCCGATACTATCTTAGCTGATATCAGATTCTAAATCAGGTCAACGTCATATTACTAAGCACATATTATTTAAAATTGCTGGAACATTCAATACTGATTCAGGTCATGTTTGTCTCAGAAGTAGCACCTCAGACTGTGAAGTTGTATCATATGGGTTCAAAATATCACAGAGAAAAATAATCTCTCTAAGGAAAGTGATGTGTGGGCGTGAATGATAGTGGTTGGTTGTTTTGCGGAGTCAGACTTGTAGATAGTGTGACAGGTTTTATATGTATTATATATTGCCCTATCCTTATTATGATTGATTAACCGTTCTTTGTTGTTGAATTGTGTTGGATTTTGGTGCAGAAATATATTGACGTTATAGTCAGGCTAATCTCGTATTCTTGATCTGAGTTGTGTTGAAGTCTTGCAGAATAGACCATTGGTGGGGATCTTGTGTAGATATTCGTCTAAGGTAAATTAACGTCCCACATACGTGTATAAAGTGAATGGACTGTTATAACAAGAAACCCTAGTGTTATAACAAGTATCCTAGCGTTTATAACAGAAAGAAATACACTTGGTTGACGAACACCAAATAGTATACAACCCAAGTCCAAAGTTTCATCCTAACTACATCCAGCCATCTAACATAATCTCCATGTCTTTCAAATAAGCAAACTGGCAATAATAAAAATTAATAGTTTTGTCAACTATTGTGAGCAGCAACAATATTGTCTTGGAAATAAATCTATTCAATCAAATAGTTGTTTTAAGTACATATGTAGATGATAAATTTTTGTATCTCCAATATAAGAGTTATTTAACATAAAAATATTTACTTAAATATTTATTCAGTAAAACTATTCATTTAACTGAAAATAAACACGAAATTGGGAAATATATTTTCTTCACGAATTGTATATTATGATAATGAAATAGAGGGGTGAGGGAAAAGCAGTTTACTATTGATAAATGGATTCAATGAAGAAAAAAAACAGAATGATGTAACTTGGCAAAAGAAATAAAAAAACATTTTAATTTCATTATCCTTATTACTTACAATGGGTATAGTAGGGTATAATGTTTGTTCACAGAAAAACGATATTATGTTCTTGAGTTAAAATGAAACAAAAGTTTTTATACTTTGGGGGTTGTCGTGGAAAATACTGTCATATTAAATAGACTTTAAATACAACATTTTAAACAAACAAAGTAGGGTAAGACGTTGTTTATTATAATTAAACAATCCTACTATCATAAGAAAAGTTGAATGATTGCTAGCAGTTGAATTTGGGATCCATGTTCCGTCCCATTTAGGACTCGTCAGATGGATGATGTTCATTCTGAGACTCGAATCTCACACCGTTCGCTTCAGACGCCATCCCACTATATACTTAGCTACTGAGTCCTGATAGTCACTAGATTGTGCAGTGGATTGAAGTTTATATTTATTTCTCTATTGGTTGTTTGAATCTTTTCATTAATGTTTAGGACTGCAATTGATCAGCCTGTTTCTTGCATGTGTAAGTCTTGGGTGGATTGCTTCTATATTTCCTTAAGTGACAAGGATTATAAACAGAGGTTATTGTTGCCTAGCAGGGAAATTTGAGTCGTGTCCGAAGTGAACAACAACTTTGGGATGCAAGTAAATCCAGCTGATGAATAGCAAGTCGGACGAACCGCGCGTCCCGTATTCGATTGTTAGCCACCATACAACTCTTCTTATAATGCATGTGACTTGATAGTAACGTTAAGACACTCCAAACAAGATGCACATATGCTGAAAGAGACTGATCATTTACAGTCCTAAACATAAATGGGAACATTTGAACGGCCATTGAAATTGTTATATTCAAATGATAAACAATTGATGAACTGGAGCATATATCTACTTCCAATGAATTTTAAGTAGTATAAATCTATAAACAAATAATATGAAAATCTGTGAGAACTAAATTGATGTCACCCCATATTTCTACTCTTACTTCAGAAATTAGCACAGTTTCGATTACCACATGCGAAATACACTTCAGCACAACAGGGTTGTAATAAGAATAAAAATCGTCTATTGAATATATTACCATATGAATCTACTCGTGTCCCACTACAACCTATACGTGGTGTTGAAGGATCTGACTACATAAATGCTAATTTTGTGGATAGTTATCGTGATCGTAAAGCATATATTGCAACTCAAGCTCCAATGGCGAAAACAGTAGAAGATTTCTGGAGAATGATTTGGGAATTGAATTCTAATATTGTTGTAATGTTGACTAATCTGAATGAACGAGGTCGAGTAAGTTGTTGTTACTTTTTAATCGCATATTAGTTTAGAGTCCATTGGTTGGAAAGTAATCCATTCGTATTATTATATTTCAGGAAGTATTATTCACCTAAAATAATCATTACTCTATTATACTCATTGTTACTCGCTACAAGTTCTACAAATACTCATTAGCTAGCCAGAATAACAGTTCTTTCGAGCATTTATGTATTCCTACTCAAGTAACCAAGACGTATTCCAGTATACAGAGCCATGCATATCGACTACATTTAATACCATTTAAGAACACTTAAACTGATTATAACTAGTAACATAGTGAAAATGAAATACTCATTTACTTATAGAATGTCTGAAATCCAGTTCTTAGTGTATCGTGTTTTCTGGTTTATGTAAGCTACCTACATTGTTTTGACTGTTCGCAGTCGTAATCAAGAGAAGTTGTATTAGAAATGATTTTGGTTGCGAATAATCTAACACGAGACTAGTCATTGTCGCTTGTATATGAATTCACTCCAAAAAATAATCTTTAATATATCATCGTAAATCAGATAATCAGTTGTATTATGAATAGTCTATCTCGATGTATCTTGATTTCAAATAAGTAAAATGAAAGTTGCTGTTTAACAAGTGCGTTTTACCTCAACTTTTACTGGTAAATGGTCTGATTGCTGTCTGCTTATTCTGTAGTGTAAATTGTAGGGACTAGCAAATTTGTAAGTCATACAAAAATGACGACAGCCAGTCAGTTCCACTTATTATTAATGATACTATAGTCAGGTAATTAACCATATTTATTGGTAGTTCATACCAACAGTCAATTTCACAGCCTAAATTACTAACAGATCTTAACTTGACCACCATTTAGAAACACTGAACGGCAATTTCATCTTAGTATGGGACTCCAGCAACGTACATTCATGACTACACATCTTAGCATCAAACTCAGAACCTTTGGTCTTATATCCAAGTTTTTTGAGGTAGATAATTTATTATGTAAAACATCAATAACGTAAAATTATGCATTTTCATTTTACAGGAATGCTGTTATCCTTACTGGCCAACAGAGAGATCATCTAGATATCAGTATTATGTTGTTGATCCTATGGTTGAATATAATATGCCAAATTACACACTGAGAGAATTTAAGTTAACAGATGCACGTGATGGTCAAGCACGTACGCTTCGCCAATTTCAGTTTACAGATTGGCCTGAGCATGGTGTACCTGAGAGTTGTGAAGCATTTATTGATTTCCTTGGACAAGTGCATAAAACCAAAGAACAATTTGGACAAGATGGTCCAATTACTATACACTGCAGGTAAATTGATTAAAATGATTTTTTATGCCTGATTTGTTTAATAAAATGTGTGACCAACTGGATGTAGATAATAAACCCATGTTTAAAATATCGGACAAGGGTTTTTTCTAAGTAAAGCATACGATTTTTCGAATCCTGGTGTGGTATTTCAATCAATGTATTTCAAGTTTCACTGTAACATTGAACTATTAGAAAAGTGTGTTCATGAAGCGACAACCTGTTGTCAGCCAGCTCGGTCGAATAGATTTCAAGCTATACTTCTTAACAAATGAAGTAGCCTTTAGTAGTCAATAGTTCGAAAGCGACTAATTCAAAATAAACAATGGTAGGTTCTCAGCTTATCAACGACACATGAATGTAATCACATTACACAGTTTTCAATTTGTCGCTTCTGAATATGCATCCACGTGCCAACGAAATCTCTGTTGAATAGTTTTATGAGTTTAAAATCCAAGTGTGAATTTCTCTTTGTTAAGAGGTCCTGGATATTGAAACATAATGATTGTTTAAGGAAAGAACAAATTAATGGTTGATAATATTAAGCATCTTCAGTAGTTTCAAAGAAAACTTGTTAGACTAAAGCTGATTCAAAATTATTTAATGTTTTACCTGGTCTAATTGGAACATACAAAGTTGAATAAATATACGGCGATCATAGTATAATAATGAACAAAATAAATTATATATCAAGATAAAATTGCCTAGAGGTCTAAAATATTGAAATTGGGATTTTCAAAAAAACATTAGTTATGATGAACACTACTGGCTACAAACAGTTTTTTTAGACTGTTGTTTATTATGGCTTACATCATGGACTGATCTTATTCGGGAACCACTAAAAACCAAGAAGAACTGGATATCTGTTTCGTCCTTAAGTATAAAACTCTATAAAGTCACAAACTGATTAGAGTTAGACATGCAAACCACCGGGTTCTTATTTGATCGTGTAAAGAAATAAGTAGACCTAAAGGTCTCAGGTTAGATCCCAGATGGAGTTATGGAAACACATTGATGAGGAGCTGTCCAGTGCTCCGTGATTTTTATGTAAACTACTATATAAAGTAATTATTTGATATTTTGTGAATAAGTGAATTAGTTGATTGTTGTTCGTCAGTAATATACAGTGTATACAACATTAGGATACAAAAAAGTGTGCCATGAATTTGCACAAGCTAACTAAAAAGTAAACATCTGAACTAATCTTAGTTATCTATACGTTAAAGTGTTTGGTATGATTTATTAAAGCTTTCGGTATGATAACATACTACCATTGGTGAGTTACTAACTCGCAACAGACCCGGTTGAACTCTACTGGTCGTGGATGCGCACTGCTGAGGAGTTCCACAGTAGGAAGAAACGGCCGTTCAGTGCTTTCAGGTTTTCCATGGTGGTCTAGCTTCACTTAACTCAACTGACTATTGAAATATATTTTTACATTGATCATAATTTGAGCTAACGTTCATTAGTACTGTGGTGCATGCTAATTATGCTGACACAGATAATTATTATGTAGCACCAATCGGAAATGAAATACCTGATAGCAGAAGATTTCAATAAAGATAACAAGAAGGAAATCAGAGAACAATCAAAACAACAACAGAATTAAATGAATAATGGAGTGTGTAAAGAACAACGAAAAAAACGTGCAAATGATATACTTAATGTATGATTTTCACATTTTATTAAGCCACTGTGTGATTTAGCGTTAAATAACAAATCGGTTATCTTCCACAATATAAAATATCTCTGTCCTATAAGTTTACCATTTATTGTTATACATTAATAAATCTTGTTTAGTAGATCCGTAAGAATGTTAAAATCTTTTATCATAAATGATTCGAGGATATATTTTTTTTATTTTAGTGCTGGAGTTGGTAGAACAGGTGTATTTCTAGCTTTATCCATTGTTCTTGAAAGAATGAGACATGAAGGAATTGTAGATATGTTTCAAACTATACGAATGCTTCGAACACAACGCCCTGGTATGGTTCAAACTGAAGATCAATATCAATTTTGTTATAATGCAGTTTTAGAATATCTTTCATCATTTGATCATTATTCAGTATAATTATTGACAAATATCGACATTATTAATCGGATAAATAGATAAAATGAGTTATTTCGTAAAGAATCAAAATGAATTGCCCCTTTCATAAAAATCTAAACTAGTCAATATTACTTCCTAACCTACCATTTACCTTCTGTTGTATCTTATGCTTCCAGTTTTTTAATGTTCACTGAACCTTTGATTCTGTACATTGTAATACTACTACTACGACAACGACACTGTGCTTTTTTTGTGTTTATTAATTGTTTACTCGATTTCAACTTGTACGTCTACATGTGTGTATATGTGTTTGTGTACATTAGTCATTTAAAACATGTAACGTAAAAATTTATATCCCGGTTTTATGACCAGTTGACAAAATATGCACTGTTTTTTCTATTAAACTGCATAATTAATTAGTCGGGGTCTATATATATATATATATATATATATATATATATATATATATATATATATATATATATCAAATTAACAATTAGACACTGGCTGTCCCTATTATTTATTAGGTTCTTTTGAAAAATTTAAAAAAAAATTGTATCATTACTGTGCTTATAATTATGTAAGATTGTTCTTCCATGACTTGTCTACTATTGCATTGTTGTTTATGTTTTTTTTCAGATTTTGAGGATCAATTTTTTTCTCTCTTCTCTCCTGTATTTTATTCTCTAATTCCTATGCTACTAATTATGATTGCGTAACTTCATCTTTTATGTTTCGCAATAGAATTCTATCATCTCTTACTTTATTCTCTTCTGGTTACTTATATGTGTCATTGAAATAAAAGAAACCATAATGAAATAAAAATTATAATGTAAATGCATTATGTAGATCCACTTTGCGTAAGCACATAAAACTGAACAATATTTGTGATGATGAATGCATGCATATATTGATAGGTATGCATATATTTTTAATGTTATGATAGGGAACGGAACCGTTCCCTATCATAACACCATTATTATTCCTATTTTTTATTTGAAAACTTTTAATGCGCTTGTAAAGATTTCCATTTATGAATCTTATGTCTACTTATATATATATAAATAGTATTGAATATCATGGGTTGTTGTTTTATGATTATGAAATAATCTGTAGAAGTGTATACCTTCATGCACACACATACACACACATCCAAAAAATGTTCAAATACTTTCATACATCAAATAATATCATTATAATTTTATTTGAAAAACCTCAATGTTACTACTCATATTGAAACAATTATTTTAACAACTAAGCTTTACTGATACACTACAATATGTATTCTTAACTGCATTTAGTACCTTTTAAGTAGTTGTTTTCCAAGAACATATTTATGAGGTTTCATATGTGTATAAATGTGAGCTGACAAACCTTCAGCTATGATAACAAGACTTTTAATGAAAACAAATTGAAATCTAGTTATTTTATTTATTCTACCCCCCCCCACACACACACACACTTTTTTTTCTTTTCTTTATGCAGATTGAATAAGACCGTGTTAACCATAAACTTGTCAAAAATCATAAGAGAACAATACTTATTTAAATAAGTTATGTATCTTTTTATTTCTTCTTATTACAGTCCATATTTACCACAAAATATCAACAATCATGACAACAAACTAATTTAGTTCTATCAAAATGAAATGAATACGATAATCATTATGAGCGAAGATGAATGTTGACTAGCAGTAGAATCCAGGACGTGCCACTAGGTAATACAATAGGGTGAAGTTTTAATTCATTTTTTATTGGTTGTTTGAATCTTCTCAATGATGTTTAGCAAATACATTCATCTGACGAGTCCCAACTAGAATGAAACGTGTTTCATGGATTCCATTGCTTGCCATTATCCAACTCTCCATATAATGCTTGTCAATTAAGGCTATGTCGAGGCAATACTCACAGTATGCACAATATACCAATTAGAGACTGACCAGTTGCAGTCTTAAACATCAATAGAAGGATTCAAACTATAAAAACAAAAAGAATTCATGAATTAATTAACCACATAATTAAATGAATGAAGATGTGTGTTAATTAGTTTGACAGACCATACAAATAAACAATGTTCCAGTTAAATTCACGTATACATTTCAATGATCAACATAAACTGCCATAAACTAATGAACAGGTTCTGATGTGTCAATAATATCTAACTAAATTTCAGAATCCCAAATAAATCTGAAAAAAGTAGAAATAGATATTGAGATAAACAATGAAACAGAATGCCAATCCAAGTATCTGACATACATATAAGTAAAGGGAAATATTATTAGAACTGGTAAAGATAAAGTCATCATTCTAAGACACTCATTCATTTTGTCTTTAACAGATTATTCACTTGCATTAAGAGAAAAAAAATGATAGAAATTGTAAATGAACATTTTAAGTTATTAAAGTCACTGTCAGAATATTTCTTGGTTGTCTTTCAGGGCTTGACACATCGTTTATTTTTTTAGAAAACTGGGACTGTGAAAAATCCATCCTTTATTTAGTCAAATAACAGATTTGTTAATTTAGAACAACATATATAAGCGAACAATATTGTATATGTTGTTCTAAATCACAATATGGGAATTTTTCAGATTTGTTAATATATAGATGATCTCAATGTTAAAGTGTGTCACACGAGATCAGTACAGAAACTTTTAATTACTTTGATCCCATTTGAAATATCAGTCAACATTCGTCATATAAAGGATAAGGTTTCTAAAAAACAATTTATAGTAAAAACGACAGGTTAATGGAAAATCGAGCCAAACGTCTACTCAGAAGTGAATTTTGTTTAAATATATGATTCTTAAAATATTATTCCTGTTTTAGTTTTTACCCAATTTACAAATAGATCATCTCGTGGTTGACATATGGTTAAAAATATTACATTCATGGTTTCCAGATCCTTATCTTATGAGGTCATCCTATCCACTCGTCAATCATCTGCACACAATCAGTACGGAACATATAAAAATTTGTTTCAAAAACTATCTACGAAATCATACGTAACCCAAACATAAATTAATCTACTGTTAAACGAATGAGTTTTTGTAGGGATATTACTGAAATTTTAAAATGTACGCAATTGATCATAGACTTCAGAAAATGCATATTCAACATAAAACCACCACAAAAATTACATTGCATTCCTTTTCTAGCGACAAGGTCTGAATTATATTATCTGCGTGTTTATTCATAAATGAATGTGTGTTAAAATTTCGCAGCCATTCTAAGCGTCACTCAAGATAAATGGGATAGTTTCGCTAAAACAAGAAATGCCTCCAAATGTTCTGGCACGGCCGAGGGTGGGGAAAGTCCTCTCTCCCTCTCGAAATGCTCACACATAGCCACGCATATGAAGCCAATGTCAGGTAAGTCCTACTCTTTGCCTTTATGCGTTAGGGGTGTTATTTACGAAATTAAGAGGACGAAAAAATGATGTCTGGAAGTTTAATCAGGTTGGCGGATATAGAAGATCCACCCAGAGAAGTTGGGAAACCCTAATTCCAAGCCAACGGTACACATTCGTTCCAGGATCCTGAGGGAATAAATGGCGTATGAACCAATTATTGGTCACCGGCTACCATGGAATTGCATCTCCTAACGCTACTCCACTGCCTTGTGGATTACACCTTTACACCAAAGGCTCTGGGTGTGGTCCCCTAGGAAAACCACCTGCTTCGGTTTGGGCGCACAAGTGGTATTCCAGCTCTACTTAGTAAACATTTGTCAAAAATCCATCACTAATTTTAATGTCAACAGTTTGTGAAAATATAGGCATAATAACCATTCTCTTTATTTGGTTGACCATTCATGATCAAGAAAGAGGAACTGATTACTTCAACTCACTTTTAAGACAAAACTCAAAATGAATCGAAATAATATTAATCTAAAATATTTACTAAGCATCCTCGAAATAGCATAAAAAATAATGATAAATAGATTGCATCTTTGAATATCAGAGAATGAATGACTAAACAATTGTTCTCCCAAAACAATTGTAATGGTTGATCCAGAATGAATAAAACTAAGAAGAAGTGGATAAGAATCAGCTTAATGATTGATATTCATGTTACACTAATTAAAACCATCACATCATAAATACAGATTCAAATTCAAAATAACTTCGAATATTTAGTCATTTAGGAAACTATCTATGTAAGGTCTCTGCAAAATGGATATCCATATCTATCATGCTAAACTTTAATTAAACCTTACTTTAGTAAGAAAGTCAGAATAAAAATAATAACGATCGTTTCACTCAATACTGTCTGTTTGATTACAGAATAAGCAATATTACCATACTCACCAAACTTGTAAATGTTTTACAGTGGTTCTGAGACAGTGTTTATCTAGCATCTATATTTGTTCATAGGATTATTATAGCTCCTACAGGATATCGTTTTGTTATCATACAATATATGTTTCATAAATTCTAATGTAACCCGCACCTTGTTTCCTTAACTATTGGTAGTTCAACTTGAATTTCGAGGTATTTTGCCTCATTATAGATTGGAAGTATTTTAACACTTTGGGAAGCTAGCATGTATAAATAAATAATTATAACGAGTGTAAAACATTGAAAACAAATTGTAGTATTTGTACAATAGGATAATGGTTTTCTCAATTGTTTTAATGGACTATTCAGAAATACGTACTTACTAAGTATTTCATAACTTAACATCCCCGTCGCCAGTTGTTATATCGATAGAGTGCGTTCTTTCCCAGTTGGTATAGATATGAACATGCTGATTAACGCCAATGAGAGAGCAGTGAATTATCGATCACATACACAATATCCGTATGAGTAGTCATGAGTACTTATCAGTCCTGCTATCTGCCTAGCCCAGCCAGTTATGTCCAGAACACCAATAACAGCCTCTGCAATATGAATCATTATTGACAAACATACTGGGTTTATATACCCATCAAACAGACCATATCGTACCATGAAATAAGAAAACAACATTTGTACAATATTTAGCCAAATGTGACTGTGAATGTGGGAGGCAGTAATCAATA